TCTAGGTTGCCCTGGCTCTAGCCCGTCGTAGGACCTGCTCCCACCCCAAGTTTGCTGGGGACGCTCCCTCTGGCGTGGACGTGTGAACTCCCAGGTACGCCCAGGCCTAATGCAAGAAAAACCAGAGAAATACATGGACAAACGAATTCTTGAGTGCAAAGCGTAAAGCTTGACTGGACACAGTGTAATAGCAATGGTCTGATGAGAGGAGAACTGTCAAATGTTGAATCTTCTGAAGATGGCCAAAAAAACAACAAATGAACACAATCATATCACAGCTGCGTAGAAAAGAAGAAGAAAAAAAAAGACAGTCGTCAGGTCGAAGCCGTGTTGATATCCAGATTGCGGGGATCCAAATAAGTCGCACATTTTTTAAACACGCAATTAAATGAGTTTTTGAAGAGAAACACTAGCAGTTAACATCTGGCAACCGCCATCTATAAAGATCACACTGAAATATTTTAATTAGAGGCGAGAGACTCTGTGCAGGGTTCTCCTTCTGCATCAATTATAGACTCTCCCACATGCTCTTTATGAGTAAAGAACAAAGAATGTCGGGTTTTATTGCACAATTGTCAGATTGCGGACATTAAAAAAAAAAGATTTGTGTTGTTGGTTTTCCGTCGGCCTCGGCTTTAAAATTCTTTTTTTACATGCGGGGATAAAGAAACAGAAAAGCTCCAAATATAGTCCAGCAGAATAAACGCCGTCACTTAGAAGCCTTTGATACAAAAGCACGTGCGAAGCTATTAAATTATCAAAAGGGCTTCGTGTGAAAACTGAAATTGCATTGATTCTGTGATTGCTACTCATGTTGCCGGTTTGACTTGAAAGCAGCTAATCAGGACGCTTTAGCGGATTTCATTTCCAAAGCAAACCCCGCCAACAGGTCGGGTTAGCACTGGTTGAGCAGCCTGGCCCGGGACAAGGGGGGATTTAACCCCCTCGTGAGCGGACCTGGCCCGGTGTTTATTAGCGCGCCTGTGTAATATACGGCTTTCTGCTTGCTTTGCAAATCTATCCGGGCGGCCCCTGCTACTTCTCCCCTGGATATTTCATTTGGTGAGGGTTAGCAGGCACGGCGTTATTGTCGCTGGTTATTGCCTTTCGTTTATTACAGAGGAGTTTGTTTAGAGTGGAGGGGGTTTGGGGGGGGGGGGGG